AAAAAAATGGTACTTATGATCTTGTTAAACTTTCGAAAAAGAAGAGGCTGTTGAAAAATAAATGGGTGTTTAAGATGAAAAAAAATGGTGATAAACTAGTGAGGTACAAAGCTTAATTTATGGTAAAAATTTTTTCTCAGAAACTAAGCATCGATTTTGATGAGATCTTCATTCCAGTTGTGAATATGAGTTTCATTCGAGTGGTGTTAAGATTAACAGCTAGTTTGAATCTTGAGCTTAAGCAACTTAATGTTAAAACTACATTCTTGCATGGTGACTTACATGAGGATATTTATATAAATCAACCTAAGGGTTTTAAAATGAAAGAGAAAAAATACTTAGTTTGTAAATTGAAGAAAAGCTTGAATGGCTTGAAACAAGCTCCACGATAGTGGTACAAAAAGTTTGATTTTTTTATGATGAACCACAGCTATAAAAGAATGGTAACGGATCCTTGTGTGTATGTCAAAAAATTCTCTGATGGTAACTTTATTATTCTCTTATTATATGTTGATAATATGTTGATTGTGGGATAAGATGTTGGTATGGTTCATAAGTTAAAAGAACAATTATCTAAGTCCTTTGATATAAAAGATTTAGGTCTAGTAAAGTAAATTATCAGTATGGATATTATTCGAGATAGGAAAGTTAAAAAGTTATGGTTGTCACAAAAAAAGTATCTTGAATGGGTGCTTAGTAGATTCAACATGCAGTATGCTAAATTAATTAGCAGTCCACTTGTCAATCATTTTCATTTGAGTAAAAAATCTTATTCGGTGTCTAAAGAAGAGCAACTAGCTATGTCTAATATTCTTTATTCTTCTACAGTCGATTTTTTAATGTATCTTATATTTTATACATGGCTTGACATTACTCATACAGTTGATGTAGAGAGTAAATTTTTTTTTAATCCGAGAAAGATTCACCGAAAAGTAGTGAAATTGATTTCAAATATTTAAGGGGCACCTCAAAAATGTGCTTAAGTTATGACGTTTCACAACTAGTTCTAGAAAGGTTTACTAATGCTAACATGACAGGTGATCTTGATGATAAAAAATCTACTTCAAGATATTTGTTCACTTTTGTAAAAGGAGTTATATCTTAGTAGTTTAAGTTGTAGAAGTGTATTGCTTTATCAACTACAAAGGTAAGTATATTACAACAACCAAAACAAGTAAATAAATGCTTTGAATGAAACATTTTTTTTTTGAATTGGGGTTGAATCAGAAAGAGTATGTGATATTTTATAATAGTTAGGTGCTTTAGATTTGAGTAAAAATATCATGTACTATGCTAGAACAAAACACATTAATATTAGATATCACTGATTATGTTCAATGATTGAGGAATAGCAGATGCTATTAAAATATATATATACTAGTGAGAATATAACAAATATGTTAACTAAGATACTTCTTTAGAAGAAGCTTGAGCTCTGTAGTAACTTGGTTGAAATGACTTCCTTGGCCAAGGTAAGTTCTAAACAAAACTGCTATAATGATGAATCTCCTCCTAATGGGACTGAAGGGAGAAATTGTTAGAAAAATGAAATCCAGCCCTATGTAATTGGGTTTGGACTAATCGAAAGCCTTAGGCCTTTATCTTTCTTTTTACACGGAGCCTTAGCTACTTAATAAAAAGAGATGATGCTATTTTAAGGTAGTGTCGCAAACAAAAAAAAAAGCCAAAAAAATAGAAAAAAAAAAGAGAAAAAAGAAGAGAGAGTTAATTGAACAAAAATCGATCCGTGGTCCGATTGAGCTAAAATTTTATCAGTAGATTTATGATTCAAAGTTTTACACTTTGAATGGTAAAGATTGGGTTTGAAGCTTTCTAAGAATAAATTCATAGTATATTTATTGAGTCATTTATTTGATTAGATTTCTCTAATTATTTTTCTCTAGTTGTTGATTAGCTCTAGTTTTAGCTAGAGAAAAATTTTGTATATCCATTATTTGATAGTGAAGATTTTTTTGGTGGTCCGTGATTTTTTTCCTTTATAGTAGAAGGTTTTTCACATAAATCTTGGTGTACTTTATTTTTTTTATGTTTTTTTATTGTTGATTGTTGTTTATTATTGTGAGTTTATTGCAATATATTGTTTCTGCATTGTTGTGTTTATTGCTTCATGCCCAACACCTCTGATTTATAGAGTTTCTTATTCTTTTTTGCCCCTATCCAATATATGTATGCCGTCATGCCAATCAAAGTATAACAGAAATCAATGTTTTCCCTCTTGGCTTATTAACAGCCCATTATACTTCATTTTCCCATCTAGCAACTTCCCTGTATAGGTTACATAGGTATAATACCTACCTTTAAAACTCTTTTGAATAGCTGCAGTTGAAAAATATGTGATCCTTTACTCTCATTCTCCTACTTGCATAGCATACTAACTTATCTGTATGAACACCCCACTTTGTTAGCTTACTTTTAGTAGGAAACCTATTTAACACAGTAATTCTAGCAATTATAGCAAATTTAAGGATGTGCAGCTTACACCAGACAAGTTTATGGCAACTGACTTTCATTTGCCTTGACCTTATTTCCTCCCAAACACTAGCAACCGAATAGCTAAGGCTTTTGATGCACTATTTCACCCTATTTTTTATTTGTACTAGGAACTTAGATGTAACGCTTCTCATCTGTAACAATCTTTTCATGCTTTAGTTATGACTTTGTGTGATCGACACCTCCCATATGCTTTTTCCTTTTAGCACAAAGCTTGTTATCCATGCTATCCATAATGAGCTAGCTTGAATGAAGATGGACTACAAAAGCCTAAGTATACAAGATTGATTTCAAGCTTCTGTATCAATCCCAAGCCTCTCTTGGACTTATAATTACAAACTGCTTGCCAGCTTACTTGAGCTCATTTTCTAAAAACTAAAGTTTGATTTATGCAAAGCTTAAGCATAACTTTTTTCGAGTTCCCCACAACCACACTTTTTTTAAATAATTTAGCTAGTTTAATAATAATAAAAAAAGCCAATAAAATTGTCTCAATCTTTGTTTTAATCAATGCAAAAAAAAGTTATAAAATTTTAAATTTAAATCTTATCACGTATGAATTTTGTTTATTTATATATATCAAGTAGCAACCTATACAGGTCAACAAATTTTGTTTTGTCATCCATATTTATTGGTTTTATTGTTAAAAAATGTATTTTTTTTTAAAGAATGAAAAATGACAAAACATACAAAAAAAATCAAATGAAAGTGACATACAAATATTTAAATTAGCCTATTATCTTGAATTGATTTAATATTGATTTTTTCCAATAATATTCATATCGAATTGAAATAGATATAAACCTATATGATACTGATTGTTTTGCCATCTATATTGATTGACTCATTTTATTGTAAAATCAATCTAATTAAAAAAGGATTGAAAAGGGAAAATCAAATGAAATTCAATCGTGATATCAACATATTTACTAATTTTTTTTAAAAACCATCAAATTTAAAAAAGAAAAAAAAATAAATAGTTTAAATAATCACATCAAATGGTCCCTTATTAAAGAAAAATTTTAAAATATGAATTCATTTTTTTGATAAAAAAAAAGGAATCAATTGACTTAACATATGATGTACTGGCATACTATTAATATCAAATGGGTTTTTTAAATATATATATAAAAAATTATTTCTTAAATGTATTAAACAAAAGTAAAAAAAAAAAATACTGACATATTATTAATATCAAATGGGTCTTATATAGAATTAAAATTTTAAAAAATATTTATTTATTATTTTTTAAATGTAAAAAAGTAAAAAGGGGAAAAATTGATATAATTGAGTCTCAAACATAAAAAATACAATTTTTATAAAACTACATTTTATCATTTTAAAATATTTATTAAATAATTTAAAATAAAATTTTAAAACCCAAAAAAAAAAAAAAACATAAGGAAAAAAAAAAACTAAAAACGACACGGATGACCCAAAGAAATAGTCTTGTTAATCATATATTATTCAAATGAGCCATAAAAAAAATCTTCAAAAATCGTTATTAAAAATTTAAAAGAAAGTCCGTAAAAAAAGAAAAGTAAAACAGAAGTTTAATATAAGTGGGTTCTACCCATAAAAAAAAAATTATTTAAAATATATTTATTTATAATTTTTAAAAAAATAAAAAATGAAGAAAAAAAAGTTAAAAAAAAAAACCACGAGATTCAATTAGTGTAGTGTTACGAAAAATAAAATTTAAAAAACTCTTTATTAAATATTTTTTAAATTAAAAAAGAAAAAAATTAAAAAGGGTAAAAAAATTTGATATAAGTGGATCCAAACATAAAAAATAAAATATTGAAAAAATATATTTTTATAATGTTAAAAAATATTCATTAAAGAATTTTTTTAAAAAATAAAGAAATCGAAAAAACAAGTAAAACATTGAAAATAACACGCGATAATCAAAAGAAACGAAACTGATGACCACACATTACTCAAGTATATAAAAAAAATAAGAATAATTTTTGTTATTTAACAAAAAAATGAAAAGGGTAGAAAAAAAGGTTCGATATAAATATTTAGAATATATATTTTTTATAACTTGGAAAAATATTTATTAACTTTTATAAAAGAAAAAAAGTAAAAAAACAACAAAAAAAAGTTGAAAAAAAAGCAAAAAAAGGACCAATAACCAATTGACATGTGGCACTTAAAAATAAGACAATGTTCGCCGTACATTGCAAAATTTAAGTTATGGAGGTTGATTTGATTTGTTTATTATTTTTCTAAATATTAAAAAGTATTTTCTTATAATTGCAACTTTTACTGTTACATAATTTTATCAAAATAAAAAATAAGAAAAAAGAGATTTAAACATTGAATTTTACCCTCGAAAATCTCCACTTCCAAGCTGTATCAACAAACAATACCATAAAGAGGTTGGCTTGAAGCCCACCATATTAAGAATGAACGAGTCCATGAAAATGGGCTAGGCCCAAACTCCAAAGCCCAATCCGAACAACCCAAAAGGCAGAAAAATGTTACAGCAGCCGAGCACAAGCAGTAGCAAATCTGAGAAACGTTTACCTGAGCAGGAGCCTCCCCAAAATCCTCCTTCAGCTCTAGCCACTTTCTTCCTTCCGCCTCCTTTTTACTCCTTCTTGTTTCCATGAATGGATCCCCCACCATCACCGCCATTCGAACCTCCACGATGGGAAATCCAACGGCCATTATTAATACAGGTGAGTCCTTCCGTTTCATCTGCTTCTTCACAAAACCTTTCTCCTCTTTCTCTTCCTCTCTTCCCTTAGACCCCGACTCACCCGATCACGACCTCCCTTTACTCCTCCATTCCATCCTCTCCAAACCCAATTGGCACAAACACCCTTCCCTCCCAAATCTGATCCCTTTCATATCCCCATCCCATGTCCATTCCCTTTTATCTCTCAACCCTTATCTCCTTCCCCAAACTGCCCTCGATTTCTCCTATTGGATCTCTCGAAAATCCAATTTCAAACACTCCGTTGTTTCCTATTCTGCCCTTTTAAACATCCTTGTGACTAACAAATTCCTTGGTCCAGCTGAGAAAATCCGCCTTGCCATGATCAAATCCTCCTCTTCAATCGACGAAGCCCGGTTCGTTTTAGAATTATTAAAAGAAATGAATAAAAATGACGAACTTCATTCCAAATTTAAGCTTTCTGTTAGATCCTATAATTTTTTGTTGATGTCATTATCGAAATTCTTGATGATTGATGAAATGAAATCTGTTTATAGTGAAATGTTGAATGATATGGTTTCGCCGAATATTTTTACTTGGAATACTATGGTTAATGCGTATTGTAAGATTGGGAATGTGGTTGAGGCTCAACTATATGTGAGTAAGATTGTACAGGCCGGATTGAGTCCTGATACGTTTACTTTTACTTCCTTGATTTTGGGGCATTGCAGGAATAAGGATGTAGATAGCGCATTTAAGGTTTTTAGAATGATGCCAAATAAGGGTTGTCGCAGAAATGAGGTTTCATATACCAATCTTATTCATGGTCTTTGTGAGGCTGGACGTGTTGACGAGGCTATTAAGTTGTTTGATACGATGGGAGAGGATTTTTGTTATCCTACAGTTCGTACATACACGGTGATTATTAGTGGATTGTGTGAAGTAGGGAGGAAGTCAGAAGGAATGAATTTGTTTGAGCAAATGTTGCAGAAGGGGTGTGAGCCAAATGCTCATACCTACACTGTAATCATTGATAGCTTATGTAAAGAACATAAGGTTGATGAGGCAAGAAAAATTTTAGATGGGATGTTAGAGAAAGGGCTGGTTCCAAGTGTGGTCACTTATAATGCTTTGATTGATGGATATTGCAAGCATGGATTAATGGAGGCTGCACTGGAAGTTTTGGGTATGATGGAATCTAATAGTTGTTGTCCAAATGATCGAACGTATAATGAATTGATAGCTGGGTTTTGTAAGAAGAATGTACACAAGGCAATGGCATTTCTTGATAAGATGCTTGAACTTAAGCTGGTACCAAGTGTGGTCACATATAATTCGTTAATTGATGGGCAGTGTAAAATGGGGCAATTAGATAGTGCCTTTAGGCTGCTTGAGATGATGAGGGAGAATGGTTTGGTTCCTGATGAATGGACTTACAGTGTTCTTATAGACTCTCTTTGTAAAGTTGATAGGGTAGAGGAAGCTCGTATTCTCTTTGACTCTCTCAAGGAGAAAAGCTTAAAAGCAAATGAAGTTGCATACACTGCTTTGATTGATGGATATTGCAAGGTTGGGAAAGTTGAAGATGCTCTTTCTTTGCTTGACAAAATGATTAATGAGGACTGCTTGCCAAATTCATGCACTTGCAATGCCCTTATAGATGGGTTGTGCAACACAAAAAATGTGAAGGAAGCATTGTTGATGGTGAAAAAGATGGCAGGGATGGGTGTGAAGCCTACAGTATATACCTATACAATTCTCATTAAACAGATGCTTAAAGGAGGTGATTTTGATCATGCATATGGGATTCTTGACCAACAAATTTCCTCAGGATGTCAACCTGATGTATTTACATATACTGCTTTTATTCAGGCGTATTGTGGTGTAGGGAGACTGAAAGAAGCAGAGGATATGATGATTAGGATGAAGGAAGAAGGAATTTTTCCAGATTCTCTGACATACACATTACTTCTTGATGCATATGGGTGCTTAGGATTAATGTGTTCTGCATTTGATGTTCTCAAGCGTATGTTTGATGCTGGCTGTGAGCCTTCTCATCATACATATTGTTTTTTAATCAAGCATCTCAAAAGGAAACAAGGGACAGAGGATGCCAGCCCTGCAATGGATTTGGTTTCAAATGCGGTGCTGTTTAATCATGCTGATGTGTGGAAGACAATGGAATTTGACACTGCTTTGGAGTTGTTTGAGAAAATGCATCAACATGGTTGTGTACCCAATGTTAACACTTACAGCAAGCTTATCATAGGACTTTGCAAAGTTGGACGCTTTGGAGTAGCCCAAAGGTTATTTGATCACATGGGTGAACAAGGAATATCTCCAGGTGAAGATGTCTACAATTCTCTTCTTAGTTGCTGCTGTGAGTTGGGAATGTATGATGATGCTATGATGGTGGTGGATCTAATGATCAATTCTGGCCAGTTACCGCATCTGGACTCCTGCAGACAACTGCTTTGCGGACTATATGATGAAGGGAGTAAAGAGAAGGCTGAGATGGTTTTTAATAACTTGCTTCGTTGTGGTTATAATAGTAATGAAGTAGCTTGGAAGATTCTTATTGATGGCTTACTGGAAAGGGGGCTTGCTGATAAATGCTCTGAACTCCTAAGCATCATGGAAAAAATGGGCTGCCAGCTCCATACTAATACATATTCAATGTTAATTGATGGAATTGAAGGAACATAGAGTATTGATTCTTGGTATTATTTGCTTTAGATTCTTGGCTTTTTGTTACTGGAAAGGAGACCACTGCATTGCTCTTCCTTCTAGATGGATGCTAGTGATGTATAGATTGAGGACTGCGTTCCTTTTGGCTTTGCATCCCAATATGTAAAAGTGGGTTTCTTGTTTCAATTGAAATGTTTCTACTAGGCTGGCAATGAAGGAGCAGTTTTTCAGTCAGAAGCACACACATACCCCCAAATTTCTGGTCGTTGATAGCATCAGTGCCCCCTCATCAAGCGAACCATTGTAGCTGACAATCAAGAGGCAAGTATGCATTTCCTTTGTCATTTTTGTTCAAATACTAGTGTTTTTGAGCCCTCTATTAATCATGTTCTTTGCTTTTCTATTTTCCTGCCTATCTCCCCCCCTTCTGAATCTACTTTAAGAGGATTGAGTTCTTTGCCTTTATATGTATATGATTATTTTCTCCTTAAGTCTATTCATATTCTTTGTACTCCTTGTACACTTAAAAATGCATTTGTGTGTAAAAATACTTGTGAAACTATTATGAGATTGTTATATGTGTCTGACGTGTATTCTTACAATCTAATTTCTTATCAAGGTAACTAGAAATTAACATGTTATCATAAGTTTGCCATCAACTACTGTGTCATTGTGGAATCAAGTTGTATCTTAAATATTCTGGATCGAACAATTTCCTGTCTTCTCCATTGGAACAACACATTCTTGCTCCAAGACTTTTTAGGGAATGATGTCCCCCTCCTTCTAGAACATCACTCTCTATCACCCAAACTAACACAAATGAAGAGCTAAACTAAAATATGGTATCCGGTATATGTCAGGCAGACACATTATGAATATGTGCTGAAATTAATTAACCATTAATTTCTTTTCAAAAATATGTTGGCTTGATTCACCCTGGATGGTGTTTGATGGCCAAGATACTCTACTCTAATTCATAAATAATAATAATAATAATAACTGTTTTTTACTTATGGTGTTGTGGTTTACTGATTTAGAAGGATCAGTACCCATCAAGGTAAATGTCTAAAAGGAAAATGAGCTCAAAATGATTTATACCATTGATAAAGTTCTTTGGCTTACCTCTTTCTTCTGTTTTTCTTTTGAGTTCTGACATGTTCTTGTCCTTGATATTGAAGCCTTAGCTGTTGATCCACAATAGCTTACCTGTTGCATCTTCTCCTTATTTGTTGGAATTTTACTGTTTTGACTATCTGTTTACTGTTCTTATCTTACATAAGTTGATTGGAATGTCTTTATACTTGATTTGCCTATCAAAGATTGGGAAGAAATTACCTAGTATATTTTACATTCAAGTTTTTTGGTTCTGTAGTTATTAAAAGTTGTGGATGTTCCTATAGTGTAAGAAAAGTTGGTTCAATCAATTAATTCCTTCGTCCTTGGGTTAGAGGGTAGAAATTACACATCTGCGCTCGGGATTAGAGAAGCCTACTGTCCTCGGCTTTTTTAAAATGGAAAAGAAGAAAATTTCAGAAAATAACTTTTTTCTTCTTTGGTCACAGCATAATCCATTCAAGGGTATGAAAGGAGCAAGCGATTACTCGAATGACAGTAAAGCCATAACTATGCTACCCTGCTCAAGAGGGATGACTGAGTGTATTGTGCTTCACAGGTAAGTAGATAAATAAAATCTTCAACAGTGTTGTTTCCTCTTCTCGTTTTAGATTGCATTGCTCATTACATGTCAATAATTGTCTGCTTTATTTATCGTGCAGTCGAAATCAACGCCTTGCCCATGAGAGCTACAAAGCGCCTAGTGCAATCGAATCAGTTGGAAAGCACCGAACCAAACCTAGATCAACTAGTACTCACAACCTTGATTTCATTTATCCAAAAGAAACAGCGACATTGATTTTGGTATCAAGATTTGGGTTGCTAATTGATTAACCATCACACGTGTTAAAAAAAAAAAGAAAAAAAGAAAAGTCAAATAAATAACTATGTACAGTGATAATTCCATTCAAATGGGGATAAATAAATGTCAAATTTTTTTTAAGGTGCTTTAAGGTTGATCGTAGTGTATGAAAGAATTTATCCAATTTTTACAAGGGATAATTATTGGTTTTGAGAATGGAAGTCGTATTCTTAAGCGTTCAATTATAAAACGCACCTTGCGGTGTAGCAGGAGCGTATCTCGCTAGCTCACAAATGGAGTCCTGTTTCAAAATCCAAATTTGTGAGATGAGAAGTGGTTTTTTTTTTTTCAATTATTGTATGACTTAAATTTATATGTACCAAAAAAGAGACGAATTAATGAAGCCTTAAAATAACCATGGTTGCTCGATTTCACTCTTTGAGATGTTCTCATTCTTCGAAAAAGTTTCAGTATTCTTAACTCAAGAATTATTTTAACAAATTAATTTTTTTATTTTACAGTCAATAAAAATACTGTTGGTTGAAAAGTTTTCAGATTATTATACTTTTACTTATATGTATAATACATCTTTTGGTGAATACATATCTAAACTAACGTTTCGACTTGATCACAAAAGTTTTGATATAAAAAGTATTGAACTTGGTTTAATTGGACAAATAATTGTACAAAATTATTCTTTTCACCTTTTAAAAGATTTTTCAACTTTTATAAAGCATCGCTTTATTGAATGTATAAAATGGTCAAAACACCTTTTTTAATCTTTTCTAATACTTTAGATGAGCACAGGAAATACCTGAATCTTATTGCTCAAGAATTTATTTTACACGGTATTATTTTAAGTTCCAAAAAGGTTGAACTTGAAAAAACCGAAATTGAATTTCTTGGTCTTAATCTTTCTGCAAACGGACTAACCCTGTAGGATCACATTATCTCCAAGATAAAAGATTTTTCAGAAGAACTGGATAATGTCAAACAGCTACAGCAGCTGTTAGCTATTAGGTATACTTAATTACGGCAGACAATTTTTCAAAAATTTTTTGAAAAAGAAAAGCTATCTTTTGCGTAAATTGCGTAAAGATAATAATTTTGTCTGGACACCTAAAGATTCTGATATTATCAAACATATCAAATCAGAATTAATCACTATACCTAAGGTCTATTTACCTAAACAAGGTGACCTATTAATTTTAGAGACAGATACCAGTGATGAACATTGGGGATGTGTCTTAAAAGCTAAAAATCTGCATCAAAAAGATGAATTGATTTGTGGCTACAATTTCGGTAAGTTCAAACCAAACGAAATAAATTATATTATCTTTGAAAAAGAATTATTAGCCATAAAAAATGGTGTACAGCGATTTTCACATCTATTTAGCCTCAGAGATCTTTGTTATCCGCACAAATAACCAAGTAGTCAAAAATTTTCTCCAAAATAGAAAGCTTTATGATAATCCCAAGCGAATTAGGTGGTACAATTTTCTTTGTTCTTATCATTTTAGGTAGAGTTCATCAACGGAGATAAAAATCTCCTTGCAGACTTCCTGAGTCGACCACATAGATCGAGGAAAACACCCAATCCATGATACATGTGGATGGAGAACCGTAAAAAATAGGTAAAAAGTCCTCTTCTTCTTCTTTTTCTTCTACTCCTTCTTCTCCACGACCCCTAATCTCTACAAATCCTAACTAAGGATTTAACTTTTACAATAATCCTAACCAAGGATTATATCTATATAACAACCTCTTTATCGACCCCTTTCATGAGGATTCAACCAGAATACTCACAATTTGCTCAAGATCCAAACGACTAGACACCTATGAGTTATTCTTAAATAGTTTCTTCCACAGAAAAACTGTTGGAACGATCAAACAGATCCAGAATAACCAGAAATTCCAACCCCTCAACCAGAGGCGCGTGGGAAGAGAAAAGCTGAAGCAATATCTAACCCAGATATTGATGATCTAAGGTGATTTCCAAATTTATTAGATCCAGATATAATGGATCAACATCTTCTTCATCTTAAGGAAAAATATTCTCACCTAAACAAGGATGAGATTAAAGATGAGATAAAATAAACTTCTGATTCTGGCCAAACAAGTCAGGTTCAAACTGAAATCCCTATAATCGATTCGTTAAACAAACGAACAGTTTCATAATGAGGTACATATTTAGACTTAACCAAAGTCCCTCTTCAACACTATGCAAAAACCATAAATGGTTGGGCATAATCTATGTATATTGTAGTCACAAATTATAAGGAGACATGGGGCAAAGAAAGATTCCTCAATTACTTTTGTGGCACATGGCAAGGTGATGTCCTTCAATTTCTTAAAAAATGGGAAAAGACAACCCTCGGAGAATAGCAGAAATCCTCTATGTTAGCTGTCGGTAATATCCCTCAACTTTTGAAAGATTTAACCCAAATCTTGAAAAATGGATTTTACGATAGTACAAAATCCCTAGATCCTACTCAAGAAGCTCAATTTATTTTATCAAAATTAAAGTTATGTGATATAAAGTTTTTAGATGATTTTTCTAAAAAATATCTTTTTGAATATCAAAAATTGGATGAAAAACATTCCAAAATTTGGTTACAACAATATTTTCTTAAACTTCCCTCACCATGGGATGAATTAAGTTCTTAAAATTACCCTGTTTACTTTGAGTTAAAACTCAAAACTGTTCATGCTGTAAATCTCAGTATCGAACTGTATGATACTCTTGGATGTAGAATACACTACGTTCAGAATCAGGTAACAGAATACTGTTTGAAGCAAAAAGCTACAAAACAGGTAAAATCCAAACTTTCGTATAAACAATATACAAAGATTTTGAAAAATGAATTTGAATTTGGTTGTAATAAACAATCTTTTTCAAAGAAATCTCGTTTTAAGAAAAAACGAAAATATTTTTGGAAAAAATGGAAGCCTACAACTTTTAAACCTAAAAAAGGTAAATTTGTTATTAAAAAGAAGAAAAAATCTTCTAAAAATTGTAAATATTTTTTTTGTGATCAAGAAGGTCATTATGCAAACGCTTGTCCTAACACTTTACTCTTACTTGCATCTTCTGCATAAGCTCTTTGTTTCAAAGCTCATACATGCATATCTGAGTGGATAGCTGGCTTTTGTGGCCTGAGTTGCCTTTTATTGCTAGCGTTTCAGAACAGCACACCGATTTTAAACACCAGAAACATGGAAACTTATGAAGAAAATTCTTCTATTTGTCAAGATAAGTCTTATAATCATGATTTACATATAGATCCTAAGTATGAATCTAGTAATATTAGCATAAGTAGAACTGTAAATAGTTTAATAGATTTAACTTCTTCTTTCTTTCATAAACTTTTTGTAAAAATTGATAATATTGAAGAAAAAGTAGATATACTTGTAGAAAAGATGGACCAAAAGCATGTTCCCCCTGAAACATCTAAAGATTTTGGACCACTTTACTTTGGAAATATTATGATGAACGATGACAAACCCTCATCTTCTACCTCAGCAAAGGTGAAACAAGAACAACTTGATTTTGACTCTTATAAGTATATTATTGAAAATTTTAAATTAAAAATGGAGCAGAGTAATGATCCGCAACAACGGATTGATTATCTTAATGCTATAGAGACTCTTTATAAAAAACATAAAGACCTCTTTCTTAAATACAAATATCATTATATGCTCAACTATGACACAACCAGTGTCAGTAGTGAAGAAGCAAATAGTGATATAGTAAAAGATAATTTTAAAATTCTTGCTACTAACCCAGTAGTCAAGGATAAACCACCTTTATTCGATGAAACCACATCTGATGAAGAAGATAGTTTTGACGATCAAATAGATCCAGAACAATCAAAAATTCTAACCCCTCAACCAGAAGCGCGTGGGAAGAGAAAAGTCGAAGCAATATCTAACCCAGATATTGATGATCTAAGGTAATTTCTAGATTTATTAGATCCAGATATAATGGATCAACATCTTTCTCATCTTAAGGAAAAATATTCTCACATAAACAAGGATGAGATTAAAGATAAGATAAAATAAACTTTTGATTCTGGCCAAACAAGTCAGGTTCAGACTGAAATCCTTATAATCGATTCGTTAAACAAACGAACGGTTTCAAAAGAAGGTACATATTTAGACTTAACCAAAGTTCCTCTTCAACACTATGGAAAAATCATAGATGATTGGGCACAATCTATGTCTATTGTAGTCACAAATTATAAGGAGACATTAAACCTAGATTAGTAAATCTCGCAGACTTATCAATCCCAAAAGGATGGTGTCTCGAAGATCTTTCAAATACTTCTAAAAAATAGCAAGTACCAAATTTAGAATTTTTCTCATCAGGAAAAAAATCTTTACTTTAAAAATTTAAATGAATCAACCATTTTTAATCCAAACCCGGTTTTACCACCCGTAAATATTTTTGATCATCAATCAGATGATGATATTGAGAGTATAACTAGTAATCAATCTTTTTGTACTTTTTATCGAAATTCTTTTTCAGGATTTCATGGTACCAACAGTACAAAAACCCTCAGACGAGCAAATAGTATGCGTCAATCAGGTAATACTGATAATGCTCAAATTCTTATTTTTACAGGAGATAATCTATCTCAGTAAGGTACAGTTGATAATCAAACCCATTATCATTTTGTTAACTCTGTTATTAACTCACATACTTCTTCTTCTAGAAAAACTAGAAATGAAGACATTAAAATGATTCATTCTATAAATAATTTTCATATTTCTAAAACTCACCCTCAAGAAATAATATCATTTGCTAACAAGGTACGATAATATTGAAGGTTTTTTTTATTTTCAAAACTATAAACCATATAGTTTGAATATTTTGATTGACACAGGAGCAACAATCTCTAGCTGTCATCTTAATGCTTTGCCATCAACAAAATGACAACCAATGAAGTATCATATAATAATAGTAGGCATCGATGGTAAAGAAACCATTGTTAGCTTAAAGGCAAAAAATATACTTGTTGCCTTAAACGATAAAAAATTCGTTATACCTAAAATCTTATGTTTTCCTAATATGCATGGAGACATACTATTAGGAAATAATTTTATACATAAATATTTACCCTTTTCAGTTTTTTCTGATTATCTTGTTTTTACTATTGATAAAAAATCGATAGATGTTCTTTTATTATCCAAGCACAATCATGTTTGTGATAATGGTTTTAGACCAGAAATAACACATATTTTTGAACTTAAAACTATTAATGAAAAACATTGGCTTTATAGAATTTTGCAA